TGTGTGTGTCTCTGTGTGTGTCTCTGTGTGTGTCTCTGTGTGTGTGTGTCTCTGTGTGTGTGTGTCTCTGTGTGTGTGTGTCTCTCTGTGTGTGTCTCTCTGTGTGCGGCTCTCGGTGTGTCTCTCTGTGTGTCTCTGTGTGTGTGTCTCTGTGTGTGTGTCTCTCTGTGTGTGTCTCTCTGTGTCGGTCTTTCAATGTGTCTCTGTGTGTGTGTCTCTGTGTGTGTCGCTGTGTGTGTGTCTCTCTCTTTGTGTGTGTGTGTGTGTCTCTGTGTGTGTCTCTCTGTGTGTGTGCGTGCGTGCGTGCCTGCGTGCGTGCGTGCGTGCGTGTGTGTGTGTGTGTCGTGTGTGTGTGTGGGTGTGTGGGTGTGTGGGTGTGTGGGTGTGTGGGTGTGTGGGTGTGTGGGTGTGTGGGTGTGTGGGTGTGTGGGTGTGTGGGTGTGTGGGTGTGTGGGTCTGTGTGTATGTGCGTGTGTGCGTGTGTGCGTGTGTGCGTGTGTGCGTGTGTGCGTGTGTGCGTGTGCGTGTGCATGTGCGTGTGCTTGTGTCTGTGCCTGTGCCTGTGCCTGAGCCTGTACCTGCACATGTGGGTGTGTGGGTGTGTGGGTGTGTGGGTGTGTGGGTGTGGGTGTATCTGTGTCTGGGTCTGGGTCTGTGTCTGTGTCTGTGTCTGTGTCTGTGTGTGTGTGTGTCTGTGTGTGTGGGTGTGCGTGCGTGTGTGTGCGCGTGTGTGCGTGCGTGCGTGCGCGTGCGTGCGTGCGTGCGCGCGCGCGTGGGTGCGTGCATGCGTGCGTGCGTGCGTGCGTGCGCACGCGTAGGTGTGTGGTGCGTGGGTGTGTGGTGTGTGGGTGTGCGGGTGTGTGGGTGCGTGTGGGTGTGCGTGTGTGCGTGCGTGCGCGTGCGCGTGTGCGTGCGTGCGTGCGCGCGTGCGCGTGCGCGTGCGCGTGCGCATGCGCGTGCGCGCGCGTGCTTGCGTGCGCGTGCTTGCGTGCGTGCGTGCGTGCATGTGTGCGTGCGTGTGCGTGTGCGTGCGTGTGCGTGCGTGCGCGCGCGTGCGTGCGCGTGCGTGTGCGTGCGTGTGCGTGCGTGTGCGTGCGTGTGCGTGCGTGTGCGTGCGTGTGCGTGCGTGTGCGTGCGTGTGTGCGTGTGTGTGCGTGTGTGTGCGTGTGTGTGTGCGTGTGTGTGCGTGTGTGTGCGTGTGTGTATGCGTGTGTGTGTGTGTGTCTGTGTGTGTGTCTGTGTGTGTGTCTGTGTGTGTCTGTGTGTGTGTCTCTGTCTCTGTCTCTGTCTTTGTCTCTGTCTGTCTGTGTCTGTCTGTGTCTCTGTCTGTGTTGCTGTCTGTGTCTCTGTGTCTCGGTGTGTCTCTGTGTCTGTGTGTCTCTGTGGCTCTGTGTCTCTGTGTCTCTGTGTCTGTGTCTGTGTGTCTCTGTGTCTCTGTGTCTCTGTGTCTCTGTGTCTCTGTGTGTCCCTGTGTGTCTCTGTGTGTCTGTGTGTGTCTCTGCGTGTGTCTCTGTGTGTGTCTCTGTGTGTGTCGCTGCGTGTCTCTGTGTGTCGCTGTGTGTCTCGGTGTATCTCGCTGTGTGTCTCTGTGTGTCTCTGTGTGTCTCGGTGTGTCTCTGAGTGTCTCTGTGTGTCTCTGTGTGTCTCTGTGTGTCTCTGTGTGTCTCCATGTGTCTCTCTGTGTCTCTCTGTGTCTCTCTGTCTCTCCGTGTGTCTCTGTGTGCCTCTGTGTGTCTCTGTGTGTCTCTGTGTCTCTCTGTGTGTCTCTGTGTGTCTCGGTGTGTCTCTGTGTGTCTCTGTGAGTCTCTGTGTGTCTCTGTGTGTCTCTGAGTGTCTCTGTCTGTCACTGTGTGTCTCTGTGTGTCTCTGTGCGTCTCGGCAACGCCCTGGCACAGCGTCTATGTGTCTCTGTGCCTCTGTGTCTCAGTGTCTCTGTGTCTGTGTCTCTGTGTCCCTGTGTCCCTGTGTCTCTGTGTCTCTGTGTCTCTGTGTGTGTGTCTCTCTGTGTGTCTCTGTGTGTGTGTCTCTGTGGGTGTCTCTGTCTGTCACTGTGTGTCTCTGTGTGTCTCTGTGTGTCCCGGTGTGTCTCTGTGTGTCTCTGTGTGTCTCTTTGTGTCTATCTGTGTCTCTCTGTGTCTCTCTGTGTCTCTCTGTGTCTCTCTGTGTCTCTGTGTCTCTCGGTGTGTCTCTCGGTGTGTCTCTGTGTGTGTCTCTCGGTGTGTCTCTCGGTGTGTCTCTCGGTGTGTCTCTCGGTGTGTCTCTCGGTGTGTCTCTCGGTGTGTCTCTCGGTGTGTCTGTCGGTGTGTCTCTCGGTGTGTCTCTCGGTGTGTCTGTCGGTGTGTCTCTCGGTGTGTCTCTCTGTGTGTCTCTGTGTGTCTCTGTGTGTGTCTCTCTGTGTGTCTCTCTGTATGTCTCTCTGTTTGTGTCTCTGTGTGTGACTCTGTGTGTGTCTCTGTGTGTCCCTGTGTGTGTCTCTCTGTGTGTGTGTGTCTCTCTGTGTGTGTCTCTGTGTGTGACTGTGAATGTGTCTCTGTGTGTGTGTCTCTCTGTGTGTCTCTGTGTGTGTCTCTCTGTGTGTGTCTGTGTGTGTCTCTGTGTGTGTGTCTCTGTGTGTGTGTCTCTGTGTGTGTGTGTCTCTGTGTGTGTGTCTCTGTGTGTGTCTCTGTGTGTGTCTCTGTGTGTGTGTCTCTGTGTGTGTGTCTCTGTGTGTGTGTCTCTGTGTGTGTCTCTGTGTGTGTGTGTCCCTGTGTGTGTCTCTGTATCTGTGTCTGTGCGTGTCTGTGTGTGTATATGTCTGTGTGTGTGTGTCTGTGTGTGTGTCTCTGTGTGTGTGTCTCTGTGTGTGTCTGTGTCTGTGTGTGTGTCTCTGTATGTGTCTGTCTGTGTGTGTGTCTGTCTGTGAGTGTGTCTGTGTGTGTCTGTGTGTGCGTCTGTGTGTGTGTGTCTGTGTGTGTGTCTGTGCGTGTGTCTGTGTGCGTGTCTGTGTGTGTCTGTGTGTCTGTGTGTCTGTGTGTGTGTCTGTGTGTGTCTGTGTGTGTGCCTGTGTGTGTGTCTGTCTGTGTGTCTGTGTGTCTGTGTGTCTGTGTCTGTGTCTGTGTCTGTGTTGTGTCTGTGTTGTGTCTGTGTTGAGCCTGAGTTGTGTCTGTGTGTGTCTGTGTTGTGTCTGTGTCTGTGCCTGTGTTGTGTCTGTGGTGTGTCTGTGTTGTGTCTGTGTTGTGTCTGTGTTGTGTCTGTGTTGTGTCTGTATTGTGTCTGTGTGTGTCTGTGTGTGTCTGTGTGTCTGTGTGTCTGTGTGTCTGTGTGTCTGTGTGTCTGTGTGTGTCTCTGTGTCTCTGTGTGTGTCTGTGTGTCTGTGTGTCAGTGTGTCTGTGTGTCAGTGTGTCTGTGTGTCTGTGTGTGTGCGTCTGTGTGTCTGTGTGTCTGTGTCTCTGTGTGTCTCTGTGTGTCTGTGTGTCTGTCTGTCTGTCTGTCTGTCTGTCTGTCTGTCTGTCTGTCTGTCTGTGTGTCTGTGTGTCTGTCTGTCTGTGTGTCTGTGTGTCTGTGTGTCTGTCTGTCTGTCTGTCTGTGTGTCTATCTGTGTGTCTGTCTGTGTGTCTATCTGTGTGTTGTGTGTCTGTGTGTGTTTGTTCCTCCGGTGATGTCCTTGCGCCCTTGTCTTCGCGTCCCACTTGGAACGCCCAAGCACCCTGCACCCTCACCCCGCATCCGCACAGAACGCTTCAGAAAATGGTGCCTCGCCTTCCAGGGATCGATATAGTAGCAGTGGACTTCTCTCGCTCCCTCGACGGTGGGCCCGCGGCAGCCCGCTGATGCACCACGATGGCCGCCCAGCCGGCGGAAGCACAAGAAGCCCTCCCCCAAAGAGATTCGAGTAGGGGATCGACTACAGAATTGAGGTGCCCCAAACTTGATGTTCTCCCCAATCATGGAAAAAACGTTGGTCTAACGTTCGTAGAACGAACCTTATACGCTTTATGTATGGATTCGGCGAGAGGGGATGTCACTGCTGGGGTACATCAATTCTGCAGTCGATAACCCTACTTGAGAGATGGCGACGTTTTGGGGGCCGTGGGCTCTCCGCGGCTGGCCGCTCGTCTTGCCGCGACCCTGCGCGTGGCAGCTGTGCAGTGCTCGCAGCGCCCCTCTCCGACCACGCAGTCATGGGGGGGGGGGGCCTCCCGGCACGCGCGCGCCCCCCTCCCCCCCCTCCAGCGCTCGCCGCCGTGAACGAGCGCAGGCCTGAGGGAACGGATCCGAGGCCCCCGGGCACGTTCCCCAGGGACCAGTTCTTCACGGGGCCCCCGAACGGTGCGGTGACCGCACCGCGTGGTGAGTCAGTAGGGGTTCGCGGTCGCCACGCGGTTTTGGGACTTGAGTCGTTCTCCGAGGATGTCTCGAGCGCCTGGCGCCTCCGAGGTCCCAAAACCGTGCGGAGACGGAGCGCGCGGTGAGGTCGTTGGGGATTCCGAGGTCACCATGCGGTCCATCACCACGCGGTTTGGGGGGCCCGAATTTTCACCCCGGATCGTTATTTGACAGCCCGGCGCTCGGTAGCGGGGAGGGGTACTACACGCAGGGGAATTGAAGAATCCAGGACAGCGGCGCTAAAGGTACCCTAAACGACTTCTAAGCTGCCACCGCGGGCCAAGAGGTGCTGGAAGGGCTCGCGTTTCTGCACCCCCCTGGTTAGATCCCCCCGGGGACGGACGCCCGAGTGGAGGGCCCCCGGTGGCCCGAGAGCGGCGCAAAAGCGTCCACGGTGATTGATTGTGTCCAGGGACCCGCTTCCCCATGCTAAGACGTAGGTGCCCCCCTCCCCGTGCGGAAGCGTCGACGACGAAGACGGCGACCGCGTATCGTCCTCCTCCTCCTCCTCCTCCTCCTCCTCCTCCTCCTCCTCCTCCTCCTCCTCCTCCTCCCCCTCCTCACCCTCTTCTTCCCCCTCCTACACCTCGCAAACAGAATGCGCCTGCGGCCGCCACCACCACCGAAGCCCGCAGGGACGGCGACACCAAGGCGGAGCTCGAGGCGCTGCAGGAGCGCCGGGGCAAGCTGCGTCCTCCCACCTACCTCCCTCCTTCCATCCACCTCCTCCTCCTCCTCCTTCTCCTCCTGAGCCACTGAGCCACTGATGGTCTGAGAGTCCGACGGGGGGGGTCGATAGCTAGTGAGCCAGGTAACTCCAGGGGCGGTCGGCCCTGGAGCCACTGGCTGGTGAGGTACGCTATAGACAGAATGAGGCCAGCGACAGCAGAAGACAGAAAAAGACAGGCAAACGGCGACCTCCTCCTCCTCCTGCTCCTCCTGCTCCTCCTGCTCCTCCTCCTCCCTCTTCCATCCCCTTTCCTTATACATAATTCCTCCCTGCTGCACCCCCAGACGTGTCCGTAGGGCAGACTAGTCGTTCCGCCTGAGGCTTTGTCACAACTTATTTTTTGAGTCTGAAAATTGCACCAGTTTCAAGGATGGAGGGCGGGCCGTTTTCAAAATATTGCTCTCGCTTTGGCGCCTCACAACGGTTTCAACGACGGAGTTCTGGTTGTTTTCAAAATGTGGTTTTCTCTCACCTTCGCGTCGTGCGCATTCGTTGGGGTGAAGTCTCAGGAGTGGTGTTCTGGCACCGTTTGGCATTGTCAGGACGCAACAGTTTTACGGATTCGCGGTATTTAAGGCCCAGGAGCTGTGTTTTGGCACGGTTTGGGATTGCCAGTGCGCAGCAGTCATTTTGATTCGCGGCGTTGGAGTCATTGGAGTCCCAGGAATGGTGGTGTGGTACGGTTGGAGATTCTCAGACGTTTGCGTTTCGATGGGGCACCTCCTGCAGTGATAAAAATAGAGGGTCTATGGAGAGGAAGCTTGGAGGGAGAGTTTATTGCAACATCGTTGATGCGGCTTGGGTTTACACTGGTCATCCTCCATCCTCTTCATCCGCATCCCTTAGTCCTCCCGCCCTCCCCACTCCTCATCCGCCTCCTCCTCTTCCTCCTTCCCCCCCCCTCCCTCCCCATCATCCTCCCTCCCTCCATTATCCATCCTTTCTCCTGCCTCCCTCGTCCCTCCTTCCCTCCCTCCCTCACTACTCTACTTCCGCATCATCCTCCATCCACCCATACTTTTCATTCCCTCCACAATTACTCAAAATGAAAACTCCTCTCATGTCTCCCCTGATACCGTCGTTCTTGTCCCCCGCCGATCTCGCATACTACTGATTACACCGTGTTGCCCAAATGTGGTTTTCCGAGAAGGCTTCCCCATCAAATTTTCCTCTGTCCTTCACGAGTAGCGCTCAGGTTGCATCGATGGCCAGATCTTGCGATTCCCACAGGATTCCGTCTAACCGAACGACGCTCTCGCCGCGGCGTTGGCCGCGCACCTGCATAATCAGAAGCGATGCTCCCTCTGAAGCGGTTGCCACGATTGAGGATTTTAATAGAGCTTCCGCTTGATGGAAAGGTGCCCACATGCAGAGATGTCCATGAAGCCCCCGTCCCACAGATCGACGCACTCGCCGCCGTGCTGGCCGTAGTACTGCATCGGCAAAGTAGCGTTCCCGTTTTAGTTTGCCACGTTTCACGGCAAAACGGCTTTTTTCGGGATCCATGTCTTCTTCGACGTTCGACTCTGCTAATAAAGAGGACTTACTCATATGGTAAGGGGTGGGAAGGAGGAGTATGATGTCAGATATGGCGCGAGCCCACCAATCTTGCCTTCATCCTCCTCTCCCTCCTTGTCCTCATCCTGCTTCCTTCCTCCTCCTCGGCATCCTCTCTCCATCTGTCCCTCGTCATCCCTCCCCTCCTCCGGGCACCTGAGCATCCCACCCCCTTGCCTTCCCTTCCCTCCCTCCCCTCCTTCCTCCCTCCCTCCCTCCCCCTCCTCACCCTTCTCATTCGTTCCTCCCCCCCCCGTCCCTATCCTCTCCCTCCCTCCCCTCCCTCCGCCCCTGGCCTTCCGGGCGCCTGCCGCTCGTCGAGAGGACTCTCGCGCCCTCTCCGGTGCTGCCGCTACCCCGCCCGCCGGCTCTGCTGGCGACGCATCGACGATGCCTCCTCGTTCTCGGGGGCGGCCAAAGGGGGAGGGGGCGACTGCGGGGGGGGAGATCTCCTAGTGGGGGCCATGAGGTCTCCCCAGGTCTCGTGGCGCCTCTTCTTATTTCAAGGCGTCCCCGGGCCCCCCCCCACCCCCCAGGCCGCGCGCTCACATGCCGCTGGCCATGATGTGCGCGCCCCCCCCCCCCCCTTTTGGACGCCCCCCTCTCGGCCGCCTCGGATCGTTGGGAGCCTTGAGACAGGGGGCCAATGCAAGCGGGGGTCAGCCAGAGCGCCAGATCTCACAGGATCCTGCAAAGGCAGGGGCTGCCTTGACCCAGGCTGGCGCGCAGGATCCTGGAGGATCTGGCAGGATCCTGCAGAGCCTGGTTGGACCGGCTTTGAATTGACCCACCCTCAACTCCGACGACGTGAGTTCTGTCCATCCCGGCGGTTTTTCTCGATTTCGGCTTGTTTTCGGGCCCTGAGCCCATCAAACATGGATCCGGGACGGGAAGCTACTCCCAGAGAAGTGCCCGAGACGTCTGGGGCCGCGCATTCAAAAGGTCACAGCGTCGGATGCCTGGGACTCCAGAGCAGCAGGACAGAGAGCCCGAGAAGACGGGGGGCAGGGGAGGCAGGGGCGCACGACGGGAGGTGACAGGAAGGTACGCGGTGCCGAAGACGTTGGGAGTGAGGGAAAGGGGAGGGAGGCAGGGTTGGACGAGAGCGGAGGGAATCGGCGAGATGGGAGACGATAAGGAGCAGAAGTCGGCCACGTGCAGAGGGGGGAAGGGAGAGGAGAACAGGCTTCTTAAAAGCACCCCTGCTTCTTATAAGCCTTCCCCCCTCCCCCTACACCATTGTACGCGCTGCCAGCGAAAGGCGGGGGCGAGAGGAATGAAATCGGGATCGGGTCGATCGAACACAAAATAAAAGTCAGGGGGAGAGCAGCCAAAGCGCTTTTCAGGCGAAGATGGCGGGCTTCCACACCGAAGCCAAGTCGCGCCAGATGAAGGTGTTCGGACGAATGGCCGGCGACCGTGATCAGGCCGAGTGGCCGCACGTCAGGGGAGCGGCGCCGGCTGAAGGGGTTATCGTCCCTTCTTTTTATAGTTATCTCAGTGTATATGTTTGACGAGTTGTATTATATGTAGACATGTTACTCTCTCGCTATCTCTCTGTATATACATAAAGGTTAGCCAGCGAGGGCCCAAACATGTGTGTGTGTGTGTTCTATCCATAAGTGTTGTGCAATATATGCTCTGCACAATCTCTGAAGTGCGGTAAATGTGTTGCAATCTACGTGGTGCAACCTATGTTGTGTAATATATGTTTTGCTCAATCGATGTGGTACAATCAATGTTGTGCAATCAATGTGGTGCAATTCACTTTGACTGCCTCGAAGCTGTCCTCTCCACTGCTCGTGCAAACATCCCAACCTCCCACCCGCAACTTGGTCGCAAGACTTCTTAAGACCGTGACGGCGGGCACCAAATGGCACTTGGCAACGCCAGCGACGCCGACGACGACAGCGACAACGACGACGACGACGACGATGGCGACACCAACGACGACGACGACGACGTCGCCGCCGACGACGACGACGATGACCACGCCGACGCCGACGACGAAGACGATGACGACACCGACGACGACGGCGACGACGCCGACGACGACGAGGACGACGACTACGACGACGAGGACGACGACGACTACGACGACGACGGAGACGACGACGACGCCGACGACGTCGCCAACGAAGACGACGCCGACGACGAGGGAGGAGGGAAGACGACGACGGCAACAACGACGACAATGACGAGGGAGGAGGGAGGGCGGCGACGACGCGAACGACAAAGAAGGAGGGAGGACGGCGCAGACGACGACGACAACGACGAGGGAGGAGGGAAGACGACGACGACCCCGACGGCGACGAGGGAGGAGGAAGGACGACCACGGCGACAACGACGACGGAAACGACGACGACGCCAAAGAGGACGACGACGACGACGACGAGGAAGGCAGAGGACGACGACGGCGACGACGATGACGACGAGGGAGGAGGCAGGACGGCGACGACGACGACGACGCAAGAGCGCGCGCGCACGCTTTTGTTGAACACCCGTGTTGCGATCCCTGTGTTTTTGTATGTTTTATGGACTCGATTTTTGAATTCCTTCCGAAATCGATGGTTTTTGAAGGAGGTTGGCATGCGCGCGCAACGACGAGCGCGCGTGCACTTCGTCTTGTTTTGTGCAGAGGGTTCTCTCGACGGCACGCGCGCAAGGGCGTTCGAACGATTTCGACATGCCCGCGCGCGAAGCCCGTTTGGTAACATTTGTTTGTGCATATTGAATAGCCCATGGTTTCCTTAAGATTTCGCAAGAGCTCGCGTGTACGCTTTTCAATAACATCAGTGTTGCGAAACCCTGTGTGTTTGTATGTATTTGGGAAACTCGATGTTGAAATCCATCCGAAACCGAAGTTTTTTGAAGGATTTCGGCATGCGCGCGCGCGACGACGCGCGCGTGTGCCTTTCGTCGAATCGTTCGCAAGGGATTATTGAAATCTTCTGATGCTTGGTAAACGATTGCGCGCGCATAGCGTTTTTTGCAGAGGATGGCGGGGGGGGGGCGATACCGGTTTGGCTGGGATAGTATGCATTCACAGGTCGGATGCACATAGGGTCAGAACCCGATGTGTTTTGCATCGGTCCCCGGGGGATCCTCAGACCCGGGAGGGGAAGGTGGTAGAACATAATTTTTAACAGAATGGAGAATCTATGGGTTGTGCAACCTCTTTGGTACAATCTGTAGTGTGAAATCTACGTGGTGCAATTCACTTTAACTGTCTTGAAGTTGTCCGCTCCATTGCTCGCGCAAACATCCCACCCTCCCACCCGCAACTTGGTCGCACAACTTCTTAAGACCGTGACGGTGGGTACCAAATTGCACTTGGCAACGACAGCGGCTCCGACGACGACAGCGACGACGACGACGCCAACGACGACTACGACGACACCGACGACGCCTCCGACGACTTCGACGACAACGACAGCGACGACGACGACGACGACGACGACGACGACGACACCGACAACGACGACGACGAGGACGACGACGCCGACGCCGACGACGACGACGATGACGACGCCGACGACGACGCCGACGACGCCGCCGACGACGCCGACGACGACGACGCCGACGATGTCGACGAGGACGACGACGACGACGACGACGACGACAACGACGACAACGACGCCGCCAACGAAAACGACGACGACGAGGGAGGAGGGAGGACGACGATGGCGACAACATGATAAATATGAGGGAGGAGGGCGGAAGGCGACGAAGCGAACGATGAAGGAGGGAGGACGGCGACGCCGACGACGACAACGACGAGGGAGGAGGGAAGACGACGACAACGACGGCGACGAAATAGGAGGGACGACGACGAGACGCCGACGACGACGACGAGCGAGGAGGAAGGACGACCACGGCGACAACGACGACGGAAACGACGACGACCCAAAGAGAACGACGACGACGACGAGGAAAGACAGAGGACGACGACGGCGACGAGGACGACGAGGGAGGAGGGAGGACGGCGACGACGACGACGACGACGACGAAGCAAGAGCGCGCGCGCGCACGCTTTTGTTGAAAGTCCGTGTTGTGAAACCCTGTGTTTTTGTAAGTTTTTTGGACATTCGGTTTTGAATTCCTTCCGGAACCTAAGGTTTTTGAAGGATTCTGGCGTGCGCGCGCGACGACACGCGCGCGCGCGTGCACTTCGTCTGGTTCTGCTGCAGAGGATTCTCGCGACGGCACGCGCGCAAGGGCGTTCGAACGATTTCGACATGCGCGCGCAAAGCCCGTTTGGTAGCATGTTAAAAAAATGTTGGAGAATCTATCGTTTACTTGAGATTTCGCAAGAGCGCGCGTGTACGTTTGTATAGAAAATCAGTGTTGCGAAACCTGGTGTTTTCGTACGCACTGTGGAAACTATCCTTTGGAAACCATAGGATTTTGAAGGATTTCGGCATGTGCGCACGACGACGCGCGCGTGCACAATTCCTCACATCTGTTGCCCGGGATTTTTGAAAACTTATGATTTTTTAAGGTAAACGAGTGCGCGCGCATTTTGTTTTCCAGAGGATGGCGGGGGGGGCGATACTGGCTTGGCCGGGATAGTATGAATTCACAAGTAGGTTGGACATTGGGTCAGAATCTTATGTGTTTTGCATCGGTTCCCGGGGGATCTTTACGCCCGGGGGGGAGGGGGGGAGAATTTATTTTAAGAAAAGGAGGACGAACTGCTGCTCGCAGTGAGTTGTCAACTCCACTGCTCGCGCAGTCATCCCATCCACCCACCCGCAAATTGGTTTGCATAAGCCCGTACGGCGGCGATTGCGATGAGTGTTTGGTGTTGGCTGGTGCATATCTGCGGCCGCGCTAGCCCGCGCATGCTCGCGCGCGCAACGGCCAGCTAGTTTGGCGCGACCGACGCGGCCGCGGTGGCGCTGACCACTGGGCACCTCCCAGCGGGCATTGCAGTGCGAGTCGGCGACTTGGGCTGGCGCGGTATCGTGGCAACGTTGACATCGGTACAGACGAGGATGATAGTAGCGATGTTGGAGACGATAATGACAACGACGACGGCAAGGCCAGTGACGGCGGCGAAGCTGATCACGCCGGCGACGATGACGGCGCCGTCGCATCGGTGATGCAAGTTTTAGAGGGCGTTCGACATGCGCGCGCGGCCGACGCGCGAGAGAAGCTCCACATCGTATTATTTGACACGGATCGTGCCCCCCCCAGCACGCGCGCAAAGGCGTCCGAATGATTTTGGCATGCGGCGCGAGAGGGCGCGAGAGGCCCGTTTGGCAGAAGTGAATGAAAATGCTAAAACACCGATGGTTCGCAAGACCGCGAGTGCAAGCTTTTCTGAAGGCTGGCGTTGCACAGCCATGTGATTTATACGCTTTCGGGACAGTCGATTTTGAAATCCAGACAAAACCGAAGTGTTTAAAAGATTGCGGCGTGCGCGCGCGACGACGCGCGCGCGTGCACTTGGTCCTGTTTGTTGCAACGCATTCTTGCGACAGCACGCGCGCAAGGGCGTTCGAACGATTTCGACACGCGCGCGTGCGAGGCCCGCTTGCGTGGAACACCCATGTTTTATATAAAATGTCGCAAGAGCGCGGGCGCAAGTGTTTTTTGAAAGCTGGTGTTGCGATGCCATGTCTGTTATTGTACGATCCCGGGGCACGCCATTTTGGAATGTTAACGAAACCTAAATTTTCCAAAAGCATTGCGGCGTGCGCGCGCGACGACGCGAGCGTGCGCATGTATCCCGATTTTTGTTTTGCTGAAGGATTCTTGCGACAACACATGCGTGGGGGCGTTCGAACGATTTCAGACGATTTCGACATGCGCGGGCGCAAGTTTTGTTTGAAAATTGTTGTTGCGAAGCCATGTGTGTGTTCATGTTTTCGCGACATTCGATTTCGAAATCCTTGCCAAAACTGTTGTTGTTTCCATATATTATGGCATGCGCGCGACACGACGCGCGCGTGTGCATTTCGCCTTTTTTGTTTTGCGCGTGCGCGCGTATGTTTATTTGGGGGAGTGATGGGGGGAGCCTTTACAGATACGAACTCATACGTAGGATGGACGATGGGGCAGAATCACGTGTGAATAGCGATACGAAAAAGGTGACCCACTAAGTCCGGGGGGGGTAATCCTAATTTCTTAGATGGGGGAATCGATGCTTGTGCCGCGACGAGGCAGCGACGAGACGGCGACTGGGCGGCGACGGCGGCAACATAGCCGCCACACCGCCACTGCCGCGAATTGTGCGTAGTCCCTCGTGGGAGACCAGAGGGTAGCATTCGCCATCCCAAAGCCCAGGCTGGCCCGGGTCAGGATCGGTGATAGTGTATATTTGCCGTTTCGGAAGATATATATATATATATATATATATATGTGTGTGTGTGTGTATTTCTCGTTGTGTGGTTGCTGTTTCCAGCTGTTTCTTTGTGCTGCTGTTCTCTCTCAGTCTCTTTCTCTCTGTCCCTTTCTCTCTCACCACCCCTCTCTCTCTCCTCTGTGTGTGTGTCTCTCTCTCTCTCTCTATCTCTCTTTCTCCCCCCCATCTCTAATTTATTTAGATATAGAAATGTTTGCATACACATACACATCACACAATATTCATAGACCAAGGATGAATCACGTATCGGTTCCAAAGATCGCACTTGCTAGGTTGTTGTGATGCGGTTGAAGCTGAAGAGCTTGTCGCGGAACGCGTCCACACCCAAATTTGACATGTTGATGGGGCAAACTGCCCCGGTGCTCGGGTTTTCGATTTCTCATTCGAATCAGCTATATGGTAGGCAGACTTGGCAGGCAACCGAGCGATCACACGGCCACGAATTAGTAACAAAAACCAGCGGTAGCGACAACTGAGGAGTAGCTTCCGCGGGGGGGCGGACAGCTTCTTTGGAGAAGGCACCACTTCTCACAGGGACCGCGACGGGATCGCACGCCCGCGTTCGATTGTGACAGTATTTTCATCGAGGCGCCGCCAGGGGGCTATAGAGGCACCGTTAGTTTCAGATCGGGCAAGAAGCGTGCCGTTCAAAAGCTGTTTGCTTGAGATCCCGAGCAGGCCCCAGCTCGTCCCAGGGGAGTTCATCACAGAAACGCCGCCGCCCTTCCAACTGGGACACCCGCTCCCAGTTATCCAACGCGAAGCTGGGCGACATGCATGTGTACGGTCGGCATCTCCCTCTCGGGGGAGAGACAGCCGAGACAATAGCGGCGCTCCCTGGCATTTTTCGCTCTGGCTGGGCCTCCCAGAGGCTTCTCGTCGCCACTGCTGGATCCGCCTCGAACGGGTCAGGACACCGGGATGCCCAGGAACTGATATTGAGTGGACTTGGACCCGGCGGGAAAGCCGCCGTTCTTTGAATATCTGCGGTCTTCACCACCACGCGCTAACCAAACCCGGTCAAAACCGGTATCGAGACCTCTCCCGGGTTCCATCTTGGGCCGTTTTCCGAGCCGCGTCCAGCCGCATCAAGAAGAGGGAGGGCCCCATCGAGGGAGGAGGAGGTTGCTGGCGTCCCCCCCATATAACCACTTCGAAAGCCAGAGTGTTTTTGTTCGTGACTCGGCCCCCCAGAGCACCCGACCCCATGAGGAGGAGGAGGAGGAGGAGGAGGAGGAGGAGGAGGAGGAGGGAGGATGAGGAGGAGGAGGACCTGTAATCCCAAGAGTCATCAACGATGTTGGAGTAAACCCTCCCTCCAAGCTCCCTCTTCGTAGGCCCCCACAACGGTTCATCTCCATTGATGGAACTGCCTCGTTGGAAGACACTCGTTTGAGGACCCTGAAGCATGCCGAAACATTGTTCTCGGGAGTTCGACGCCACGTATCAACCTGACTGTTGTGTCTTGACGATCCTGAATCGCGCCAGAACGCCATTCCTAGGACTTCAAAACAGAGAGTCAGCGTAACTATTGCGCCCGCATAATCCTGAATCCTTCCCAAATACCATTTCTGGTACGTTGATGATGAGAATCCGCGAAACTGGTGCGAATGTTTAAAGCGAGCGTGCGCGGGCGGCGCTAAGGCGAGAGCCACATTTTGAAAAGGAGCCGCCCTCAATCCATGAAGCTCTTGCACTTGTTTCAAACGAATGTGCGCCGCGCTAGAGCGAGAGTCATATTTTGGAAACCACTCGCCCTCAACCAGTGAAACTCTTGCAATTTGTTAAAACGAATGTGCGCCGCGCCAGAGCGAGAGCCACATGTTGGAAACCAGTCGCCCTCAATCCGTAAAGCGCTTGCAAATGTTTCAAATGAATGTGCGCCGCGCTAAGGCGAGAGCCACATTTTGAAAACCACCCGCCCTCAATCCGTGAAACTCTTGCAAATGTTTCACATGAAGGTGCGCCGCGCTAAGGCGAGAGCCACATTTTGAAAACCACCCGCCCTCAATCCGTGAAACTCTTGCAAATGTTTCAAATGAATGTGCGCCGCGCTAAGGCGAGAGCCACATTTTGAAAACGACCCACCCTCCATCTGTGAGATTGTTGCCACTTTGTAAGCTTCAGAGTCATAAATGGTGAGGAAATCTCGGGCGAAACGCCCGGCCCGCCCTAACAACTGGCCCCGGGGTGCGGCAGGGAGAAGTTATCTATAAGGAAAAGGAATGGAGGAGGAGGGAGGAGGGAGGAGGGAGGAGGGAGGAGGGGAGTGGGAGGAGGAGGAGGAGGGAGGGAGGAGGGGGGAGGGGGGAGGGAGGAGGGAGGAGGGGGGTAGGAGGAGGGAGGAGGAGGAGGAGGAGGAGGAGGGAGGAGGGAGGAGGGAGGAGGAAAAGGGAGGAGGGAGGAGGAAGAGGGAGGAGGGAGGAGGCAAGAGGTGGAGGAGGAGGAGCAGTAGGAGGAGGAGGAGGACCACCCCCCAGCCCAGTGTCGGTTCATGCTGGTCTCTTCTCTGATGGCCTGGAGTCCCCCTGCGCACGAGCGCCCCGCTCCCAGCATCCCCGGGCGCGGGACGCCGGCGCGCCGCCGCAGGCCGTCGTGGTCCTGGCCATGAGCTCGTGGGTCACCTTCCACCAGGACCGCGGGGCCCATGGGCCCACCTCTCGCCAACGCCATCCCAGGGGCAGCGTCAGCCAGGGGGTGGGCACAGGCCCTGGAGGGGATGTGCGTCGACCCCCAGTCGCCCATTCATCGCCGGTCGAGGCCCGACCGCCCACCCCGCTCAGGAGCGTCCGGATTCGCTGTCGGGGGCCTATCGCCGATGTCTCGCCGATTCCAGCTCGATGTTGCCCCACGAGCCGCTTATAACTCGAGCCTCTGGCTGCCGTTTGGGCCGATCCAGGAAGCCCCAGAGCGTTCTCGGCGAGGCGCAGCCGCTGGAAGGCATCCTGAAGCTGGAAAGCGGCCAGGAACTGGCGAAAACATCCGAAAACCTCCAGCCTCGAACCTCGAAACCGTCCCCCCAAGAGTTGGCCCCCCCTGACGTTGGCCCCTCGCCACCACCACTACAGGGTCAGGGGCGGTTGCTCTGCACGGCAGCGCACCGCTCCGCGATCGATCGCGGTGGTTGTGAGAAGGTGCAGTCCAGACGCCATTGGTCATGTCGACTACCCCGATTCGATTCGACTCGATTCCGTTAGCTACCGATTCCGATTCCGATTCGATTTCGGATCGCGATTTGGATTCCGATTCCTCAATGGAGGCTTGCTAGCCTGCCGATTTCCGCCGATTCGATTTCTCCCGACTCGGCTGCCGCCGATTTCCGCCGATTCGATTGATTTCGATCGCCGATGCGACTTGTCGATTCGATTCTGGGCTCCCCTGCAGTCCAGACGCTGACGTACGGACCACTTCGGGACTGGTGGATGGCGTGCCCGTTGCAGCACGGTCCCTGCAGGCCCACCCCGAGCCTGGGCCGTGCTCTGTCCTCTCCCCCTTGAGATCGGGGCGGCGTGGCGAAAGCCACGACGGGATCCTGGCCCGGCCCGGGCCCCGGGGATCATGGAGAGCAAAAGGGCCTCTAACTTTCAGTCGGGCCTGACCCTCTACAGTAGGAATCTTCAAACATGGTCAACAAAAAACAACTATGGGGACGATGTTGTACTACTGTTGATTTCTGTTTGAGTATGTTTGCATGTTTTCACTGTTCGCCCAAAATCCACCAGCAGGAGGACAAGCCCGACCTGACCCTAACCCTGATAACATGGTGAAGACGTGGCCTCACAAAGGTCCCCGCCTTTGCATCAGGGATCGTAGATCTGGGCGGCTTCTTTCTGATCTACATCTGCAGGAAAGACCGCCATATCCCTGATGTTTCTGACTCTCCTAGCTTAGGTCCCCTCCCCAGACACCCAAACATGTAGGGGTCCTTTCATTGCCGATCAAGGGACCCTCACGGATCACTCCAGTGCGAGAAGTGCGACAAGAAGATGGGGTCGAGGTCGAGGTCTTTTTTTGCGATTTGTCTCGACGACGTGGTTGTTCACAATGTCGGTGCTCGCGGTCCCCCTTCGTTCTTTTCTTTTTGTTTTCTCCTCCTTATCCCTGTTCCTTCCTCTCCGAATCCTCTTTTTCCGATTCGTCCTCCTTCATCGCCTCGTCATCGTCCTCTGCTCTTGCCCTGCTCCCCCTCCGTCGTCCACTCCTCCAGCTACCTCTCCCCCTTCCGCCAGTGGGTGAATGTCTCCTTCCTCCTCTTCCTCCTCCTCGTCCTCCTTCTCCTTTTCCTCCATCACCTTCTCGTCCTCCTCGACCCTTCGCCTCTGACCCTCCACCATTGGAGGAGGAGGTGGCGGAAGGAGCGGGATGGGGCGGGGGAGATGGAGGAGGAGGAGGAGGAGGAGGAGGAGGAGGAGGAGGAGAAGGACAGGGACAAGAGGAGAGGGGGTAAACAGGCGAGCAAGAGGAGGAGTAGAATGAGGAGGAGGAGGAGGAGGCGGAGGAGGAGGAGGAGGAGGAGGCGGGGGAGTAGAAGGACGAGGAGTAGGGCGAGGAGGCGGACGAAGAGGAGGAAGGAACCATCTATTCATCAGCGGAAGGAGGGGAAGGTGGAAAAGGAGAAGGATGGCAGAAGGACAGGAGAAGGAGGAGGACGACGACGACGACGACGACGAGGACAAGTTCAACGCAGAGAATGAGGATGAGGTGGAGAAAGAGGACGAACAGGTGTGCAAGGGAGGAGCAGGATGATGTTCTGCTGCGCACAACATCCAGCAAAGCCCTGGAGCGGGTTTAAACTGGAGGATTGTATTCAACTAAAGCGATCTGATATGGGAGCGAGACGAGATCCATTCCTCAGCATCTTGCAGGGGAGGCAGACCGTGTTCGGACTCCTTGCTCAACCTACATATGTTGCGGTTGGACCTTCCAGACAATTGTGCAATAAGTGCAGAGCGTCTACGACAGCTTTCGCGACTTCGGCTCAGTCACCTGCGTGGCTGTGACAGTGGAGCTTCTCCTGGACTTCATTGCCTGGTGGCGGTGTCCGATGACAACACCAACCATTTGCTCGTGAAGATGTTCAGGTCGATTTGAGTGGGCATCTCCTGTCTTGCAAGTCGAGGTCATCGTGTTGGGGTGCCCCCCGCGTATGAAATAATGCAGTATTCCGCTTGGCGATTGTGATAGTATCACGGGACTTGAATGTGTAGCCCCCAGGCGGTTGCGCCCCATCACGCCGTTGGCATGACCCATGACATCGTACGGAGCCCCGTGCTCCTGACGGGGGCCCTGTGTTGACGCTGTCATGCGCACATGTGTGTTTCGCGGTTTCGCCCTGGAGCCACCCACATGCACCACAAAGAATCATAAAAGGAAAAACGTCCCTCATCCCATATGGCACAGTGGAGTTCAAATGCAGCTTGAAAAGTGTGAAATCGCGGACCATCCATGCCCGATCTCTCCCGCTGGCACTCGTCAATCGCGGCCTCGCACGCTTTCTACTTACGGCACTACCAGCGAACATTGTGCCCTGCAGGGAGCTCCACATTTTCAGTGTGCCAGTTCGCGTGGCAACGCCGCGCCAATCTCGGTTCACCCCTCACGTGGGTCGTGTTCCACGGGGGCTTCTACGTGTCTGCGCGCGCTTGCCCCGCAGCCTCTTGTCCGCACTGCCCGACGGCGCGCAGCACTGGGACGTGAAGAATGGGCCACGCCATGCGCAGTACGCAGCGTTATAGAGATGCCTTCTGCCTCTCTAACTCCAGCTGGTTGTATGCTTGTGTTGCTCCCAACCCTCGTGTGTTAACGGGCTCCCGCTTGGAATCCGCAGCACCGCGCGTCTCCTCGTCCCACCTCCCTCTCTTTCTCTGCTTGTGAGGCCCGTCCGGCTGCCAATCTCGGCGCACACCGCTCGCACGCTTCGTGTCCCTATTGGGAGCCCAGCCTACGGCCCACGTGGGGGTGGGCCAGATGCGCCCTCTCTTGGCACGCTCCTCACACGGCTGGTGCCCCCAGCCAAGGCCCCACCTCCGGCCCCAGCGGGGGCTGGGCCGCAGGCCGCCCCACTCGAGTCCAGTGCACCGCTCACAGTTTCGTGCCCCCATGGGGAGCTCCACCTACGACCCCAGAGAGCGGGGGCCACATGCCGGTCCACGCACATCCCAGCACACTCCTGACACGTTTCGTGTCCCCCTGCGAAGCTCCACTTGCGGCCCAGTGTGGGGGGTGGGCCGCATGCCACCCCACGCACATGTTTCGGCAAACCCCTCAAAGGCTCAGCGTCCCCATGGGACGCTCCACGTACGCCCTCACTGGGGATGCGCGCATGCCCCCCCCTCCATTTCGGCATACACGGGCCGTGCTCCCACTGCGGCTTCAGTGGGCGCAGTCGCATGCCGCCCCTCACCCATTCCACCACACCCTCTCACGCGTCGTGCCTCCATAGGAAGCTCCACATACTGCCCCAAGGGTGGACGTATGCAGCTCCCCCTACGGCCCCAGTGCGGGTGGGCCGCATGTTGTTCCACTCCGAAGTCTGCAGAGCATTCACACGTTTCACCCCACCCAAGGCCCCAGTTGCAGTTGGCCAGTTCACATCGCAGCGACGGGCCCACTTCGGCAAACCCATCCCGCGGATCGTGCCGCACCATGAGCCCCACTTGTTGCTCCGCCAATTCGCGTGGTGGCGCCGGACGGATTTTGGCACACCCCTCACGCGGACCGCGCTCCATCCACAGCCGTGATGGGCGCGCCCGCAGGACCTTCAATCTATTCCGCAGCGCACCGCGAATGAGAAGAGGGCCGCCTCTAGCGCGATACACAGCGGCATAGGGTTGGGCCCCTCGCCAGGTCGTGTGTTGTTGGGCTCTCGCTGTGGCTCCGCGGCGCCGCGCGTCCAATCCTCCACCCTTTCGTTCTGAGTCCTGGGTCTCCGTCCCTCGTCCCGTGAGTTTGGTCCTTTTCGGGCCCCCTGGGCCGTGCTTTTGGTCCTGTTCGTTCGTCGTTCTTTGAAGGCAGCCCACGCCCAAATAAGTTCGTCAGCCCGCGCCCACTCGGCCACTCGCTGCCTCTGCTCTCCGTGCGCTTGCTTTTGTCGGCACACCCGTCACCCGCTTCGCGTTGCATGGGGAGTTCCACCTACAGACGGCCCAAGCGGGGGTGGTCCAAATGCCACCCCTCGCCCAATTCTGGTCGGCCACGCGCAAGGGGGGGCAGCGGGAGGGGGGAAGGCAACTCAGAGGTTTTTTTTTACCTAACAGCTTTTGCTGATAGGTCCCTAGTGGTGTCAAAAGAGAGCATCTTGACGCCCCAGGGGGGTCTGTGCGGGAACCCGACAAGGAACCAGACGGATCCGCCAGCCCCAGGAATCCTTATGAATATTTAGGATTTCTTAAGAATCCTTAGGAATCCATTCCCAGAACACCATTCCCAGGCCGTATGTTGAATGCCCGGAGCCAACTGTAGGCCATTTCGTGTTCTTCGTGCTCCCAGAACACGATTCCCAGGCCACATTTTGAATGCCCCGAGCCAACTGTAGGCCACTTCGTGTTCTTCGTGCCCCCAGAACACAATTCCCAGGCCACATTTTGAATACCTGGAGCCAACTGTGGGCCACTTGGTGTTCTTCATGTTCCCGGAACA